ATAAGGGAGTAATCAACTGGGTTCAAATGTTGATGATAGACTGAAGTGATTAGAAGCCTGAGAATAGTTCCTTGGTTTAGCAGTATGGAGGTCAGTAGTTTTGACAAGAGTAGTTTTGGGGAGGATGGAGTTGAATTAAGATGGAGTCATTGGTCTATGGATGGCATTTAAAGTCATGAGACTTGGTGAGGTCACCAAGGGGGCGACTGAGGTAGAGAAGAATATAAAGAAAGGGGAAAGGACAGAGGAGACCTGGCCCTGATCATTTATCATACATAAATCTGAATCATTGTTCTACCTCTTTGTGCTTCCATTTGCTTATTTAAAAGCAAAACGGTTAGATTAGAATAGTGTTTTTCATGGCCTGTTAGGAATAGAATAGACTAGAACATATTAGAGTGTGCACATTGTAAGGATAAATATGGCTTCCTGGAATTTAGGCTTCAGACACTTATGTTGTTAGGCATATGCGTGTACGTTCTGGGTCATAAAGAAGAAAGCATGTCTTATTGGGGTTACAGTCAAAGAAGTCTGAAACCCAGTGGTTAACATGCTCCTTATGGTCTTTTACAATTCCAGGAGTCTATTGTTTTGATGTTCTGACCACAGAATTATATCAGCTCTAACATCCACGTAAGAGGAGACAGACTTGAAATCAATCTCATTGATTGTCTGAGAGATCTTCTGAGACCAGTAGGTAAGAATGGTGACACAGAAATTATATTCTTTACTAATAATTGGTTTGATTATCCCTGCCTGTGGGGTTTTTTGAAAGAAAAGAAAAAAGAGAGGGACAGAGAAAAGAACAGAAGGTTATATGACTGCCAGGACAATTGAAGACCAGTGGGGCCTCCTTAAGAAGATATAAACCATAAATAAGGGGTTTTGCTGTGTAAGATGTACAATAATAACACGTAAAAGAAAAAAGAAAAAAAATAAGATGAGGGGAGAACTCTCTCATCTTGATGCTACAACTTTTATTGTATCCTATGTGGCCAAAGTAAAAACGGGGAATATTGGGGGAGGAGAAGGGAATTTCTTCTTTTCTTTATACCATAATATATTTTTCAGCTCTTCAGCAATGTGCCCATGTAGAAAAATATAATTATTCTGCATATAAAAACAGAACTGGATTAAAAAAGAAGTACTAACTCCTAAATAGTAAAATGGCGGCCTTGCAAATACCCACTTGGAACCCAGTATTCCATTGTGCGATGCTACATAGTTTATTTCACCAGTCACCTATCGCTGGATTCTTAAAAATTTAGTTAACAACAATTACATAATCATTTTCAAGTGTGTCTCAAAAGTAGGTCCCCAGAAGTGGGATTTCTATTTCAAAGGGTGAAAAGTTACATTGCAAATAACAGGGCATGGTAAAAGTATAACAATGGAAGCTTAAAAACAAATACAAATACCTAAAGACAAAAATATTACTAGATTTCAACTATCATGGGTCACATCTTTTTTAATTTTATTTTTTAATAAATAATTTGATTCAAAAATCAAAACCGTATGAAAAGATATGCACCCAGAAGTCAAGTTCCACACCACTGTCCCTGACGACACAGTTCCCCTTCCACTGTTTCTTTATGCAAATAGAAATGAAAAATATATATACTCTTCTTTCTCACCCTTTCATAGGATAATATATACATGTTCTCTACCATTGTTCACTTAGCAGTATGTCCTGGAGCTGTGTCTACAACAGGAAACAGAGGTCTTCCTTATTCTTTCCATGGGTACATGATGATATTGTGTAAAGGAACAACGGTTTATTCTGCTTTCAGAATCTCTATATATTAGTGAGATTAGCCCTTCATAATAAGAGTTGCAAAATATTTTTTTCAGATAGTCATTTGTCGTTTAACTTTGATTATGATAAAATTTGTTATGCAGCCTTTTTATTTTTATGTAATTGAATTTACCAGTGTTTTCTTTCATGGCTTTTGGATTTTGAGTAATATTTAGAAAGGTCTTTCCCACTTCAAGAATCAAAGGAATTCGCCTATATTTTCTTTAAGTACTTCTGGCTTTTTGCTTTGTTTCGATTTTATGTTTCAATCTTTGATCTACTTGAAGTTCCTTCTGGTGTTTTACAAATGGCTATCTAGTTGTCTCAGCACTATTAAAAAAGTCCATCTTTACTACTAGTGATTAGAAATGCTTTCTTTATTGGATACAAAATTCCTGTATTACTTGTCTATTTCTAGACTTTCTATTCTGTTGTGTCAGTCTTTCCGTTAAGCACTAATACCACATTGTTTTAATTGAGGATTGATGATCCTTTATAAAATATGAATAAGATCATCCACTCTTCCTGTTCTTATTTTTCAATTATAGGGCAATTATAGGACAATTCCAGCTTTTCAAAGAACTGTGGAATTCTTAGAGCTAGAAAAGCCTTGCAAGTCATTTAGTTTTTGTTTCTGCCAGGGAAAATTCTGTAGGAACTAACGTGCTCTCTGAACTCCACCCCACAGCAGCTCCTTACCAGCTATTAAAGGCCAATAATATCTTAAGGGTAGTACGCTTTTACATCGAATCTATACTGAGCCAGGGTCAATGCAAAAATGTGAGAAGAAAGGGGAGTATGTTTTATAATTTGTGGGTGCTCTCTTTGAACTAATTTATCACTTCTTCCTCTAAACTCTCTGGAGGGTCACGATGCTTCCCTTTCCACATGGGAACTCCTAACTACAAAGGGAGATGTAAGGAAGTAGGTGAAATATTCTCATTCCAGTGTCTAGGAAGATGATATAGGTTTGGTAAACAGCCAGTATCCGCCACACTTCTGCATGTTTCTGTTTTTTAAAGGCTCATTCACTTATTTGTTGACTCTTCAGAGAGAGGGCAAGGTCCAAGTGTGCAAGCCTAGACAATGTGTAGGTTGAATTATGTCCCACCCACCACCCCTTCCCCCAAAAGTTATGTTTAAATCATAACCCCCATTGCTTCAGAATGTAACCTTATTTGGAAATAGGGTGGTTGCAAATGTAATTCAGTTAAAATGAGGCCACGGTTGAATAGAAAGGGCCCCTCTGATTGGCAATTCCTCGTAGACCAGCTCCCGCCAGTTCTCGGAATAGGTGGAGGCCTCGACTCCATCCTGCTGGCTGCCCGTCCCACCTGCCACCCGCCTGCCAATGTGGAAGGGAGGCCGCAGCCCAAGGGCAGCCCCCAGGGATAGTGCCGCCCGCCCTGGTGGGGCTGGGACCTTGAACGCCCCCAGGACCCGCATCTGGAGAGAAGTGAGAGTGCCCCAGGCGGGGGGCGAGGGGGTGCTGAAGTTATCTTGTGGTTCGTCTGGGGTGTGGTGGGCCTGGGTAAGGCCAAAGAAGTGACACCCGGCGACACCCCCGGGGGAGAAGACCCTTCAGTGCCACCTACAGAACCGCAGGATGTCAGTCCTCTGCCTGAGCTCCCCTCCCTCACGTCCACATCCCTTTTTAATTTGTCTGGAGGAGGCCAGTCTTCAATAAGTTATTTAAAAGCTCTCTAGGTACTGGAATTTGCTTCAAGGGTTGAGAACCACTGATCTGGGCGGAGCCCCTCACAGTAGTGAATGTTGTTTCTTCCTCGATCTCTAAAACTGAGTTAATATTTTTCTGGAGTAATGGTAGGCCCAGAGAAAGAATTGAATTACCCAGGATTCCACAAAGATTAAGTGATGGTGGCCCAAGAATTCCTCTTCAGCAGGTCAGAAGTATAAAAGTGTTTTGCAATCATTATATAAATTAACAAAAATCTTGTTTATTGTGTTGTATACCTAGTGCTTTGTGCCTGAGCACTTCTCACTACAAACTGGGATTATTGCCCCACTATTACACTTGAGGAAGCGGATGGAGGCACAGAGGGGTGGTGTCACTTGTCTACTTGTAAGTAAAATCAGAAATTGGACATAGATCTGTCTGGATCATAGAAAGGTGGAAATTTTTATTTTTAAACTTTACCTAATATCTTTAATGGATCGCAGGATGTCCAGAGAACTAAAACAGGAACTGAGGAGTGGCATCAAGATTGAAAAAAGGAAAACAACCAGTCCCATCCTCAGAGAACCTAGAGAAAAGAGACACAGGGAGACTGATGGCTGAGATACAAGATGTGGGAAGGAGAAGGAGATCTGAAGACTAGAGGTCCTGCCCATGAATTGGAGTGATGAATGGACACCCAGTTCCTGGAATATGACAGATTGGATCATTTTTACTTGTCCAGGGGTATCAGGATAAACTCAAGGAGATTAGCATAGTCTCTTGGCCACAAGCTAATTAATATGCTAATCAAGCACCTTCTTGAACAACGATCACTGTCTTCCTTATTCCTGGAGAAGAAGGGACTTTTTAGGGGTGAAGAGCCTATGTGCAGAGCTTCCTGCATTTCCAATCCCAGCTGCCTGATAACGCCGTTCCCTCACTGCGAGTCCCAGAGAACCGGTGCACAGACTCCACTTCAGGCTGTTGGTGTGAGTGGGTGTGAGAGGCAAGGCTGACAGAGGAGGATGTGAGGAGCCGTTCGCACAGAATCCCAGGCACTGAAGCTGTTTGTGTGGGTGAAGAAAGTGGAATTATTGATGGTGCTGAGAGCTCTAATAGACCTTGTCTTTGGGGAGAAACTGGTGCCGAATCTACTGAGGACCAGGCACTCAGAATGCCTCTGCATCTCTGTCCCTCCTTAATTTAGATTTTGAGACTGTATGCAGCAAATGTCTTACGATAGATTGCAAAAATTGCCCTCAATTTATCTCATCTTATTGCTCATTACAATGTGACATTGTCGCTCCTCTCATCAAGAGGTGGAGTTTAGGGCTTCCCTGGTGGTGCAGTGGTTGAGAGTCCACCTGCCGATGCAGGGGACACAGGTTCGTGCCCCGGTCCGGGAAGATCCCACGTGCCGCGGAGCGGCTGGGCCCGTGAGCCATGGCCGCTGAGCCTGCGCATCCGGAGCCTGTGCTCCGCAACGGGAGAGGCCACAACAGTGAGAGGCCCGTGTACCGCAAAAAAAAAAAAAAAAAAAGAGGTGGAGTTTATATCTCTGTCCCTTGAATCTGGGCTTGGCCGAGTGATCTCACAAATGTGACCTGAGCAGATGCTTGAAAAGAGCCTGGCACATTGCAGCTTGTCCCCGTCTTGGTTCTCCCACAGCCCTGAAACACCCATGTTACGAAAGAGACTGAGCTCGTCTGCTGGAGAATGAAGCACCCAGTCAACAGCCTACCAAATGCCAGACTTGCAGGTGAGGCCATCCTATATTACCCGATGCCAGCTGACTCTCCAGCTGATAGAGACACAGGAGAAGAACTAGCAGAATTCAACCCTGACTACAAGAACCACCAGCTGACCTACAGAACTGTAAGTGAATAAATGGTAGTAGTTTTAAGCAAATAAGTTTTGGGGTGGTTTGATACTCATCAAAAATTGTCACGTGCTTAGTGAATGGCCATGAATTAGTCTTCTAGGACAGTGACAGCTTTGCCTGTCCTTCAGGAGAAGGAACCACGCTTCTGCAGCAAATCCCAGATGCATCCAGCTCCTTGTTCTCTCCCCTCCCCCCTCCTTTTTTTTTTTTTTTCATTTTTATATCCCTCCCTTTCCTACGTTAGGAAACAGAAGTGGGGATTAATGAAGTGGTCTAGGCTCCAGTGATGTTTTCACCTGCAAACTTTAGCATTCTCCATTCCCATCTCCTCGGAAAGATTCTCCCATCTGATTCACCAGCCCATAGCTTTCCACATTATCAAAGCCCCTCCAGGTTCCCAGCTCCTGGAGGGGTTGGCTGATAACAGTGAGAGTTATGAAAACAGAAGAGGCGGGTAGGGGAAGTGGGGGAAAGGGAAAGAGGGAGATAAGAATATATCGATAGTATTTTAAATAAATGTCCATATACTGTGACTCGGAAACTTTCTTTCAAAAACCCACCCTGAGGTAAACAAGAGAAGTGAAAACCTACTTACATACAATGATGTTCATTTGAACATAAGTTATAATTGCAAGAAACAACCTGAGCGTATGTGCTATTATGAGATCGCTACAGTCATTTAAAACCACATATTAGCATGTGCAATGCCATGGGGGAATGCTCACACTGAGAAAAACATGCAAGATCAAATATATGTATGGGGAAGGTGATTTACCACCACAGTAGGAGTGTTCATTCCTTAGAACTGAGAGTATAATTTATTGTATTTTACAGTATTCCATAATAAATATGTTAATTTAATCATTTAATATCTATATCTTTCTATACATATATTTATATATAGAAAGAGGACAAGAGTGGGGGAGGTAGCAGTGGTTGCTGTCTCTGAAAAGTTGAGCTCAGATCTGGTTGTGGGTGAAGGTGGTAACTAAGGTGTGACCCCAGAATGCAGGGTGCTGGCACAGGGAAGGTGGAAAAGGCAGTCACAGGTGCATTCCTGACCTGGTTCCCACTTTGAGCACTTGCTTTCATTTCCCTGGATGTCCTCGGAGGCACTGTGTAGATGGCGTCTCAGAATTGTTTGTCTGAAGCTCATTTGGTTGAAGCTTTATCCATCCACACCATTCCCTCTTCAGTTGACGTTTTACTCCTGGGATGTTAATTCCCTAACACTTTGTGTCTGCCAAGCTGGTGATCAAAATGAGCTCACCCGGCTTCAGAAGAAGCTGGGAAAGACTACTCTGAACCTAGAACACATTATGCTCAAAGGCTCTTGGACCAGAATGACCTCGGCATTGTCTAGGACCAAAGAGAAGGCCACTGTATATGGAAAATGAGAAGTGGGAAGAACAGATTATTAATCCAGGAAGGCAAGGTCTGCGGGGCCAGAATTTGCCTTGTAGGCCGGTATGAGGAGTTTGGACTTTACCTGAGAACAGTCTCTTTCTGTGTCAGTTGGACTGTTTATGTTCCTCTGCCTCCTTCAGTTGCTATCCTGTCATTCCTGCTGTTCCCTGCCTGTCTGTGTCTCTGGTCCTCTGCCGCAGCACCACGTACACCACACATACCTGACCTTTCATGCAATTACAGGGGGAGGGTGTGTCAAAAAGGTATGAGGAAGGGGCACCAGAGGGCCCCTCTTCTTTTGTTTCCTGGCTAAATATGTACCAGATGCTGAGGGTTTTCCAGACTGGACACGTGAGGCATTGGTCTGGGTGGGTGTGGGAGCCACACTCCCTGTAGCTCTCTGATGGATTTTGCTCAGAATTCTAACAATGTAGAGCTAAGCTGCCTGAGTTCATGTACTGCCTCACCAAGGTGGAAGGTGGCTTTGGACTAAGTTCTGGCTAATGGGATGCAAGCAGAAGGTTGTAGGGTAGGTAGTAAAAGATAACTCTTGGATACGTGCCCTTTGCTCAACTTCTGAATCTCTTTCTCCATCTTAACTCTTGGAATGAAGGTGTGATGCCTGGAGCTTTAGAAGCTGTCTTGGAACCTAGGGATGGTGGGAGGGTTGCTGGAAGGCTTGGTGATTTTGTGGAGTTGCCATACCAGCCCTGGACTTTCTGGATTTCCTACACTTCCCCATCTGGACTGCCTTTACATGAGAGAGACATGAACTTGTTTCAGTCACTATCCTTTTGGGTTTTCTATTCTATAGAACTTAATTGAGTCTTCAGCAGTACAATGAGTTGCTATCTTTAAAAAAAAAATGCAGCCATAAATCCATGTGCTCTTTATTTGTTTTGCTTTTTTCCCCTTATTTAATTGGAATTCTGTAACTTTCTGAATTTCATTTGTATTAGTCTGTTTAGATTTTCTTTCTCCTTCTTCAGTCAGTTAGGTCTTTTAGTTTCTTTTTAAAAAAGTCACTTAGTCAAGATTTTCAGTTTTATACGCACATAATTCTTCAAACTGTTCTCAAAATTATCTCCAGTATATGCTTTTTCATGTTTCCATTTTTTCTGTATTCTCCTTTTTAAAAAATCTTTATTAGAGCAGCCAATGGTTTATCTAATATAGTAGAATTTTTAACCCATAGGGACAAATAGGACTTATTTTTCTTTCTATAACTTGCCTACACCACAATCAACTTGTAATTTTATCTTTATCATCCTATGGTTTCCAAAGATTTATTTTGTTAATTAAAATTTTTTTTTCTTTAGTTGAATGTTTATAATCATTTTTTTCTTGGTCAGCAATTTAAGTGTTTAAGGACATAGAATTTTCTCTGAGCAAAGCACTCTAGGCCCTGCCACCGTTTTAAGGAGGCCACCCCTCACTGGGCAGGACTATACTTGGATAAGACAGGACTGCAGGGCACCTAGAGGTAGAGATGAACTTAGCAATAACCAGATGGTGCCTTCACTTATCCTGCACAAAGGTGGGGTCTCTCAGTTATCCAGTGGGTCTGAGGCTCCAGAGTGGGTACGTGTGCTTGGACTATGGGGACAGAGAACAATAACATTGGGGTTGCTTGTATAGGGGAGGAAACAATCATTTTCCTCTACCCATCTTAGGTTCTCCAACCAGGGACCTGTAAATTAGACTAACAAGAGAAAAACAAAAGTTTATTAACATATTGTGAAATAATAATAAAACATATGTATGTATATATATATATATATATATATATATATATACACACACACACACACACATTGGCCTCTTCCCTTGGTTCCTAGTACAGAGCTCCTAAATCCCTTGGAACTTCCTAGGTGATAGGAATGTCTCTTGTTCTAATGAGGCAACTCTTGGTGAGCTCCTGGATAGATCAGGATGGGGGCTAATCACCAGAAGGACCAGGCCATGATTAGTTGCTTGGAACTTTCAGCCTCACTCCCTAGCCTTTGGGAACGGAGGAGGGGCTGGAAATTAAATTGATGGTTGATCACGCCCACATGATGAAGCCGCCATAAAAATCCTCAAAGTACAGGGTTTGGAGATCTTCAGAATTGATGAACACATCCACGTGGTGGGAGGGTGATGTACTCCAACTCCATGGGGACAGACGCTCCTGGGCTAGGGACCTTTCTGGACCTCATCCTATGTATCTTTCCATTTGGTTGTTTATTTGTATCCTTTATCATATCTTTTATTACATAATAGACCAGTAAACAAAGTGTTTCTCAGAGTTCTGTGAGGTATTCTAACAAATGATCAAACCCAAAGAGGGGATCATGGGAACCTCCAATTTATAGCCAGTCAGTCAGAAGCACAGGTGACAACCTGGACTTGCAACTGGCTTCTGAGATGGGGGTAGGAGGGTGGTTATTGCTCAAGCAGATCTCACCAGGTCTGGCAGCCATCCACACTTACTACATCAGATTATCGATGGCTCAGATTATTAATGGCTTACTATGGCTCAGATTATTAATCATGTCAGTGGTTAGATGAGTCATTGCATTTTTGATTTTCATGCTCTTTTCTGCAGTTGACAGAGACAACTGCAGCTTTTCCTCATCCCCCATCTATGAGTTTAAATGGCACCAAACAAACTAGGAGAAGTCAGACCTCCTGGTCTCTGAGTCACCCTCCTGGTCACTCAAGAACTCTTAGAAATCGAAACTCTGAACCCACTGAAGAGGGATGGAGAGGACAAAGCATAATCATCGCTATTATCTTGCTTTTCCCCAGCTCAGCCTGACCACTTGGGGTATTTTTACAGTCATTATAGTCATTTATTCAATGCAGATTTATTAAGTATGCACTAAAAACCCAGCACTGTTTTAGGTACAAGGAAATAGCAGCGAAGAAAAGAGACCACATTTCTGTCCTCATGGGATTCAGATTATACTCTCTATGCTAGTTAAATCAAGGAGGAGACTTTGCTCCTTCCCTTACTCATCTGGGGGAGGCAGGAACAAAGGAGAATATTGATAGACCTGGAAATAGGGCCGGAGAGTGTCAGAGAAGGAGGCCTTTGGGAAGGTGAAGATGTGGGAACCAGTGGTCATGTTGTAAAAGGATACAACTCCAGCCTCGAAGTCCAGAAATATCCCCACAACCAGGGGCTGCTCCCTTAGCTGAAGGGAAGTTAGGGGAGAGGTAAGCGCTACGTAGCCATTCTTTTTGCACAGTCTGATGGCCCAGAATCCAGACTGAGGCGTCTGCACCATGACAGTGTCCCTCTGCACATTTTCCATACAGACTCCTAAATCCCACCCAGTTCCCTCTCCCACATCCACTTCAAAGTAATGTTTTCCTGAGGTGAAGCCTTCACAGCCCAGGATACAGGGTAAGGCACTAAATCTCCTAGAAGAAGTATCAAGATTCTCCTGGGGGCATCCACGAGTCACTTGTCTCCGATCCTCAGACAGAATTAGTTCGTAATAAGCTGTATCTGGATCCAGAGTCACGCTGACTGGGGGGGAAAAAAAAGACATGATTTTTGTAGCTGAGAGCACAGTTTATTTTAAATAAAACCAGGCTG